CAAACAATTACTGATATTCTTTGTGCCAGTTTATACTTTTGTTCCTATTGTTAAGATCCCAAGTGTAACCTCTATGGACAACATTTATTCTGAAACATTTATAGCATTACCTTTGATCTGTGTTTGTTGCCTATGTCCACTGTGCACTGTGCATTTCCTTTCTATCATCCACAGCTCCCATGCAGCGGCCTTATATCCACCTAAAGTAATAAAGATAACCTCTTTTCCTTTAACAGCTTCTTTCCTCCTCTCCTTTCATTTGGTTTCTTTCTTTGACCTTTGACCTCAGCAGGAAAAGGGCACAATGGATCTAAAATAACACTTCCTCCATCCTGTCTCCAAGCCAAAATTAACACCAGACCTGAATAACAATATTCCTGCTGTTCAGTTCCTCATCTTCTCATCTGTAATCCCTAATCTTCTCATTCCTTTTAGTGCTGAGCTCTCATAACTGCAAACATGTGACTTTAAAACACTTTCAGTTTGTTTGCAGTCACTTGCAGACAGTTTCATTTATGAGAAACTGAAAAAAACCCCTGACTAAATAATTCTAAAATGCTTTATTTCAACGTAAACAAAAATTAGATGAATAATATTTTGAACATGGCTGTAAATGAATATGGCTAAGAAGCTAGGCTCCTCAGTTTCATTCATAGATTTTAGAGGTTTTAAATGGAATCAAATTTGCGTCCTTTTTTAAAATCTATCTACCTTTGTGTCATTTGCCAAATTTTGGAGATGTCTGCTTTCTTTTAAATATAATAGAACTAAATTACATGTAAAACATCAGCAGTAGCACTTCTTACCACAAATCAGACCCAGTTCCTCAAAAATATATTTTAAAAAACTTTTAGAGAACAGTTTCATGAAGGAACTGTTTTCTTTCTCCTGAACTGTACCTTTTAACTGTATGACTGTACAGAAGGAAGTGTACATCTACAACCCACTAATAGAGGTCCTGGCTTATGATTCGTGTAACAGGATGTAAACACTGGTGGCCCCGCTTCCACGCACTGTCCCTTTCTATGATGCAATGTTAGTTAGCTTCAAGTTTCTTTTGACTGGCAGATTTAGACAAATTGTTTCTGAAAGTATTTGAATTTGATGTTTGTGGGTAAACAGTTCATTTCAAGATATGATGAAATAAGATTATTTTGTGCTATGGAAGTGAAACAGTAGTTATCAGGATGGATCAATGACTTTGACCAATAGCAACTTCATTCTAATAGTTGTTCAGAATTTCCTCAGATGGTGTTTGGAGTGTCACGCTGGGAAGAAGTTAAAGCTTAGATTGCAAAGGAAAACATTACCAGAGATAATTGGTGGTAATTTTCCTGTTTACGTTTGCTTTCTAATCCAGATAAATATGCCTTAACTGTATTTCAGTGTGGTCCTTTTCTTCACTCACTGGCTTCGTTTTTTAGTGGCGCTTGTCACCCATGTCCAGTGTTGGGCAAGTTACTTTGAAAAAGTAATTAATTCTTAAAAAGAGTAACTGAGTTATTAACTAAGTTACAAGATTCTAAAAGTAATTAATTACTTGAAAATTAACTGTTACGTTACTTTAAAAAAATGTTTAGCCCTCTGGGGTCCAGGGTATAATTGGCCATTTTAAACTACTTTTGATTTTCCCTCCACATTTCACCTTTAAAAACTATTTACTTTGCCTTGTTTGGTATCATTCTTTTCAGCACAACCTCATGTGTCTGAATTTATAGTTATGTTTTTATTTTGACATACTGTATTAACACAACTGATCTAAAAACATAAAATCAGAGTAGAAAAAGTGATATTTTATACTGTAACAACCACAAACATGTTTAATGAATCATATTTCATAACTTTAAATGCAAATATAAATTGTCAATTTAAAAATCATATGCACAAGTTTTGCAAAGAACAAATTTATTTGCATCCATTTACCTTTTACCTTGATTTTCTAAATAACCATTTCAAACTATTTACAGAACAATCAG